GCATTATAATTGAATTTAGATTTTTTTTTTTAAATTCATTGTTAATTTTCCTCTGTTCTCTTCATCTCCAGCAGGTGGAGTTAAAATACATATGTTCATCTGCAGTGAGGATCCAATGGACTTGTTTAAGTTTCAAATAATGATTAACGGCTCAAACAACAACATACTGACATTTTTCCACAATCCAGGTCAAAGTGGTTCTGTCAGTTACAGTCAATCACCAGCACTATATAATGTAAATAACCTTGTCCTTATATGAAACTATTCAGATTGTACAAATTTAAACTGCGTTTCCTCACTGTGATTGACTCATGTTTATCTTATGGAGGTTCAGTTTATTTCTGTGAACCCTTTGAACTAAAATCTAAAGCATTTCCTGGTAAGTCCTCTTCATGCCTTGCTAATGCTAATCCTGTCTTTGTGTACATACATTTGTTAATGTTAAAAGCTGCTGAGTCTTACATATGATGAATAGCACTGTAGATGTATTACTGTAAAGTATTACCTATTCATGCCTTCAACAGGTAAAGGAAAGTGGGAGCTCTGAGTTAGTCCAGTTATATCAGGTACAGTATATCAGGTGTTTAGTGTGAACACTGAAGGAGCTTCAGTGAGCTTCACCTCTGTGTATCTCTAAGAGGAACAATGAGGAGACGACACAGAACACTATTGATTAACATGGAGATTTCATCAGGTCAGTTTGCCTCACATCAACAGACAGAGTGGACAAATCAAACGTCTTCCAGTCAATAGAAACACTGAAATCAAAGATCTTACATGAACACAAGCATGAAATAAACAGTTTATGAACAATTCACAGGTTACATATACAATAAACATGTGATATTAAATGTGAATATCTTCCATTTTCACATGTAAACTATCTGAAAATCACATGAGCTTCCATTACGTGAACTGATCACATATGATATGTTGAATCTGAGCCTTTCAAGTGATTGTGAAAAGGTTTCTCTCCAGATGTGATTATACAGACCTCTCAGATTAGAATAAGACACTTTTCACTGAAATAAATAAATCTACACAGGTCAGCAAGGTCTGCGAAACTAAGACAAAGAGTGAAAATAAATTATATTTTCAGCGTGGTGTGTTTCTATTGTTTGAGTGTTCCTAGTCATTCACCTGTTGGAGTGAGGTGTGTTTATATGGAAGGTGGTGTAACTCTGAACAAACACTACAGCAGTGAGCTGAAGGGGAAGTTAGTGGTTGGAGAGATGATGGAAGATGTGTTTCTACAGCTAACAGCTGATGGGGAAACATGGTTCTCAGCCTGTTGACAGGAAGTCGAGCTCAAAGGGCCCAGAGTCTGAAAGAGTTTGAATCACAGTGTTTGTGAATTAAAGTCTACATAAGCTGGTGAAGTCTCTCAGTCCATTAACAGTCCGTAGCTACAGTATGTTGTTCTAGAGGTGTCTTTATTTCTTCAGTAACAGCACTGGTGAAGGAAACCTCTTCAGCCTGTTTCACATTATTACCAGCCTTTATCAGTGAGCTGCATACCAAACAGCTTCACTGTTGTCTCAGTTTCAGCAGCGTTTAGACAGAGCCCAATAAACCAAAGGGGAGTGGGTGGGGTGGGGGGGATCTCATGATGATGTGAGATCTCTGCCACTGATACTGTGCGTGTCTCTGTATGTAGAGTTAAAGATGAGCAGTGGTTGTACTGTCATTGTGGATTGAGCCCTGGAATCTGGGTTTTGCAGTGTTGCAGAGTAGATAATGTTTACTGGCTTGATGTTTGCTGAGCTGCTACCACCGATCAAAGGTCAGCGCACAAAGACACAGAGGAGGGAGAAAGACCTGAAGAGAGTAAAGCATGTGGCTTTATAAAGCTGCGTTACTGAGTGTTTTTGTGTTAATGATTTAATGTTAGTGGTGGAAAAAGTATTACAATCTTTTATTGAAGTAAAAATAACAATATCACAATTTTAAAAACTCCCCAAAAACACATTCATAATCTTTATAAAAGTATGTAAGTATAAATGAAAACACACTTAGACAGTGTAAGAGTAAGCTCACAATGTGTCAAACCCACAGACAATTACTGATTTTTATCCTCTTTTAGCTTATTGTATTTGTGATGGCCACACCACCAGCCACACACTGAGCCAAGGCATGTTTCATTTACTTAGCTTGAGTTTGAGTCTTTCTTTCTTAGCATGACATTCAAAATTCACAAATACAAACAGATGAATAATTGCACAAAGCTTTTGGTTTGATATAACATACACATTTTATTAGCAATATTTGACAGTGTATTTATCTATTTGAGGTGCACACATTTCATCAACTTTCTTTGTCGGTTTTTCTATATTAGCTTCATGAACAAAAGTATTTGATATCCATGAAGTGAATTCAGTTTTCTTTGAGTTACCACTTCCTGGGGGTGTTGCTGCTGGAGTGTCCTGGCTGGCTGTCAGGAGGCCCAGCTCCATCAGACCTGCTTAAATGGTGCTGATTACTAGTTTGTCTGCACTATGTTCCTCCAGCATCGTGGGAAGGGGCAGTTCTTTCTAGTTAGTGCCACGGGCAATATTCCTACGGGCTTATTATTCTTCCGCCAAATTTTGGCGCGTAACTCGTCCCGCAGCTTTAAGAAAACCTCGGTAATATATACATCAAAACGTGCGTCTTGATCCCGAAAGAGGTGCTATGACTTTTGGTGTTAAAATTCCAATTTTTCCCAAAGTTATTCCCAAAATACTGGGAATAAATAATGCATTAGGAATGCATTGGAATTTTCTTTAAAAACCCACAAAATTTCACCTTTTTTCTACAAAATTTCACCTTTTTTCTGAGTCACCCAGCTCTCTCATACCTGCACGTAGAAATGTGATTCAAACTATAAAACGGAGGAAAACTTCTGCTCTCTCCAAAACACAACAACTGTTTTTACATAACATGTAAACTTTTTCAAACCACTGTCCACCACCAAAAAAAGAGGAGTGGAAATCACTTTTCTTCAAAGTCTAGATGACAGCGTCAGTTGGCTAGAGTGCATGAAGCAGTAAAAAATAACCTTTATATTTTATTTTTTAACTCGAGCTCACGGCCAAACGTAAAAAGGAGACAAATAATTCTTTCTGAAAATGTAGGCATAGTTGTTGGGATTCATAAAATGTAACTTTGACAGGCAGGTCTGCACAAAATTTAAACTGGGTGCGAGTCCGGCAGCAATACCTGTCTCACTCTCATTGACACCTAATGTAATCGTCTTTTTTTTTTCAAAAGAATCTCACTCTGTCTTCGCACCTGAGCTACTCACTCATTTTAAGGAATATCTGAATAAAATAAGAGACGCGTAAGAAAACTTCTGGCTTCAGTGTCTGTCACGGTTTTTCGTTTTTGAAAAGAAGTAACGGTTTTCTCATATTTGCAATTGTTTTAAGCCATGTAGAAGCCAAATTCTGGGCAGATTTTCACATTGCCATGGCAACAGCAGCTCCTGACCTTTGGTGTGCGTGCGTGCGTGCGTGCACCTAGCCAACCAGATAACCAACTCTCCAAGCTCCGCTAGCTTTACATTAGCCGCATGTTAGGTCTTAAATTACATTTAGTTAGGTCTTAAATATGTAAGTCCATTTACTGCTTCCTTTGTTGCTTTTCTTTTTTTTTGTTAGTGAATGAAAGTAATGAAGTTGTGACTGCGTCTCGCTGAGACAGAGGCAGAGGAGAAGCTACTAGCCCTCTCTCGCTGTCACTTCTAGTCGCGTTGCTCTCACTCCCCAGTAATGTTAAATTTAGCCACCGAAAAAAAACATAATAAGTGTGTAATTTATAATAGCGGTTCATGGGATTTATTAACCCTCAGGGGTCCCTCTGTCCTTTTTTTTGGACATTTCTTCACTTTTCTTTTTTGATTTGCGACATTTTGGGCTGTTGTTAAAGCTGAAGGTATGGATTTCTGCAAAGAAAGTGTCTTTTTTGCACATATTTTTTAAAATATAATGTCAGTTGCTGCTTACAGGTCTATTATACACTGGTAACACATTTTGTACCCTCTGGGGTTCCTCGCGTCCAAAAAAGGACACACAAAGAAAATGCTATAAAATCATCATATATCAATATTTTTTTCTGCTTTTTTTGCATACATCTCCTAAACCACTTCAGTTCTGCTCAAACCTACCAAATGTTTATTAGTTTTCAGGATTTTAACCCTTTAAATGCCAGTTTGAAGACATGTTGCCTCTTGTTTTATTAAAAAAAACAACACAGAATATGAGATATTTCCCACATAATACATGATGGAGGGATGTGACATTGTTTTATATCAGAGTCTTTTATATCAAGACATTTCTCAAAACCAGAATATGATCAGGGTGACTTTTGAACACTGGAAATAAATCATGTACTCATCCCAGCAGTCGCCCCCATGGCACTCAAAATTTCCCTGGAATTATCTAGTTTCTAGTTATTATTTCTTTGACAAATCTGTTTGTGTTTATTTGTTTGAGTACTTTTCCTGAGTTAATATGGTTCAGCATTATACAGACATGTTTTGTGATTATTGTAGTTTGTTTAAATGGTTATGTGTTAGTCCAGTGGTACAGCAGCAGGCAGCTGTTAAATCTGACACACAGGAAAATTATTTCTTTTTGTAAAATACCTGATAGAAACGAGCTGCGGGTTTTAAAAGCCTCTGTGAGCTGTCAGCTGTTTTTGTTTTCAACTCACAGGTCCAGCTTAGCTGAAAATAAAATAAAGATTTACACACAGGGAAAGTGTCACTAAAGGTTCATTGAAACAACTGTAACAGTGAAGTGATTATTAGGTTTGAAGAGTGTAATTGATCACTTTTCACTATCAGTTCCCTGTTTGACCAGTGGATATCTATTTACACACAGTGAGGTCCAAAAGTCAGTTTTGGACTGTACTCTATATTGACCTATAATACTGAGGTACAGTGGAAAACAGTATCCTCCATGTACCAGGCGGTAAGCTTGAAAGACAAATGCATAAGAGTGTGCATATACACAAACATGTTCAAACGCACCATTTATTAACAAAATTCATAACAAAAGTCCATCATTCCCATTCAGGAGCACAAACATTGCTGACAAACAAGAATATAAGACCAGGTCTCTGCCGCAAATATTAATATGATTGTTCCAGTTTATAAAAAGAGCAAGTTAATACGCAGCATCATATGGGTTGTTGTACAGGTCAAGTAATAAACAGTTAAAACATCACCATCATAACTTCAATTTTCTTTTATGTAACTTTAAAATCAATTTCATTTAAAGAAATACTAAGAAATACATTATCTTTTTTTAAAAGATAAAAAGTCAAAAATTCACCAATAAAATCAACTCCTGTTATCATGAACATATTCTATATGTATAGTTATAAAGTCAGTGAGAACAGCAAATTCACATTTTAACAATACCTGGGTATATTGGAAATATGCATAATATTGGTCCAAAAGGTGCAAGGAATCACTATCTACTCTTCATACATATTACATTACTCCCCCTAGATATAAATTATTATTATATTAGTTTAAAAACCTTTTAAACTGTTAAAATAAAGTCCATAGTTCAAACCATGAACCATGAACAGACAGAAGACAGATGAATTTGTTTTGCTGATTAGATGAAGGTCTGGATGGAGTGATGATCTGGAGGGAAGGCAGGGTTCATGTTCCAACATGAAAACACACTGCTAGAAACTGTTTGGACTCCAGGACTTTCATTGGATTTGACAGAAAGATGATGGTTTCAAGCAGAGCTGGTGGGGCTGGTAGTCTCCTGCAGCCGCTGCACAAATCCCCTTCTACCAATCCATCACTGAGGACACAACTATAGAACAGTAACATTCAGCAATATTCATGTAAAAGTGAAAGACTAAGATACAGTCGGTTTGTTTCCAAGTTGAGGTGACAAAGTAAACTGATCAGTCTTTGGACCAGTCTCTGCTCCAAAACACTAAACAACTTCATAATAGTCAAACCAGTTCCCACCCTCACCAAACTGTCAACACTGAGCATCGAGCAGATATCAGCAGATTTAAAATACCTCCACCAACCAGCCAACTTACAGGAAATATGGTCACAGTCTCTCCTTCCTGAGTTACAGTGTTCAATAATGGCCAGAAGTGTTTTTGCAGAAAATTATGATGTCACATGGGAGTTGACCTTTGACCTTGACCTTTGAGTTATGGAGTTTTGAGTCTTTTTTGAGGTTATAGTGACCTCAACCATTGACCTTCGACCACCAGATTCTAATCAGTTCATACTTGAGTCCAAATGAATGTTTGTGCCAAATTTGAAGAAGTTCCCACAAGGTGTTACTGTGATATCGTGACCATGAGAACAGACAAGTGGATGGACAGACAAGCTGAAAACAGAATGCCTCGAGCTCTGACTGTGGCTGCCTCAGAAGCAAAACAACAGTTCAACATTGTGTAAAATTTATTATAATTATTTGCTCTCTATTTCAGAGTGAGATGAGGAGATAAATATAATTTTCATTTCTGCATGTGAAGCACAGAGCTGGAGTCAGGAGGGGGTTAGCCTAGCTTAGCGTAAAAAAATGGAGGGAAATAATTACCTAGTGTGGCTCTTATCTAAATCAAAAACAACTCCCATCAACACTTTTATAGTGTCTTTTTACACTGTGTTTTGTTAGTTTAACCTGTACATTGAAGAAAGGGAGTTAAAGGGAGTTCTTGATGGATAACAGTTTTTACGCTCACCCAGCACATTTGTGTTGTGTGTCGTTAGCATTAGCATGTGGTTGCTAGATACAGAAAACTGTTGTTTTTACATGTGTTTTTGTGCACAGGTTAAACAAACCAGATACAACATATTAATCAGTGGCTTGAGAGGTGTTGGTAGTTTTTTAACTTACAGAGCCAAATAATTACATCCTGACTCAAACTCAGCATTTAACATCCAGACATGAAATAGACATCATCTCGCTGTTGGAAAATAAGCAAAGATGAGGGAGAAAAAGAGAGAAAGAAAGAAGTGAAACTAGAAGACCTGCGTTCAGCTTCAAAAGTAAGAAAACCTCAATTAAAATCCCACTTTTTGACCTTTGTAACAACACTAATAACTTCAAATCCAGCCTTTCTTAACTGTGTGTTGTGTGGCTCCCTGCGTATGTGTGTAATATCCAAATTCGCAGGAGCTGCAGTTTTTTTTGATAAAGGTCAAATGTGTCACAACAACAGACGAATTATATTCTCCAGATATTTGTTTGGTACAAGACCAACAAAAATTATATCATCATCTTTTTTATATTTTTTGTCAGTAAAAATGAAATGTAAAAATCATCATCCACCCTGAAATTGTAACTCATATTAAAATATCTGTCAAAATATATATATATATATATATATATATATATATGTATTTTGATTATCGTTCAGCCCTAGATTCAATCTTGTTTTTCTGAGTGAAGCTTGTGGAAGAGAGACCAGCCCAGACATGATGCTGTGACTTCAGCTTCAAGCAGAAGATGCTACGTCACCTTCTGGTCAGATTTCAGTGAGCAGTGTCCTGTAATAGGGAGACTAAAATCATGTAAACTCAAAGTCCATCTGATGGAGAAATCTTTTCAGCTCTTTTAAAAGAGCAAACAACAGTACTCCAGAGTTTTAAAAAAATGGCTGCCAGACAGTCAGGTCCAGAGTAAGTTCCAAACATCATCCCTCTGAGGGGCGTTCAGTCTCTGCTTCCCCTGAGGTCAACGAGTCGTCAGCAGTGATGGCGATATCAGCTGTCGGGTGGGTGGCAATCTGCTGCAGGAGCTTCTCCTTTTGAAGCAGCTGATTGGTCCAGTCTTGACACACCTCCTCTACTCCAGGCCCCTCCCCTCCATATTCTGGCGGCAGGATGTCTGGTGAGAAGAAGTCACCTAAAGTGTCGTGGTAATCAGCCCCGTGCATATGGATCTACAGAGGAGAGAAGGAACTGGGTTTTAAAGTCTATGAACAGAGTCTGAGACCAGAGTCTGAGACCAGAGTCTATGAACAGAGTCTGAGACCAGAGTCTGAGATCAGAGTCTATGAACAGAGTCTATGAACAGAGTCTATGAACAGAGTCTGAGACCAGAGTCTATGAACAGAGTCTGAGACCAGAGTCTGAGATCAGAGTCTATGAACAGAATCTGAGATCAGAGTCTGAGACCAGAGTCTGAGAACAGAGTCTATGAACAGAGTCTGAGACCAGAGTCTATGAACAGAATCTGAGATCAGAGTCTGAGACCAGAGTCTATGAACAGAATCTGAGATAAGAGTCTGAGACCAGAGTCTGAGAAAAGAGTCTATGAACAGAGTCTGAGATCAGAGTCTATGAACAGAGTCTGAGATCAGAGTCTATGAACAGAGTCTGAGAACAGAGTCTATGAACAGAGTCTATGAACAGAGTCTGAGATCAGAGTCTGAGATCAGAGTCTATGAACAGAACCTGAGATCAGAGTCTGAGATCAGAGTCTGAGATCAGAGTCTGAGATCAGAGTCTATGAACAGAACCTGAGATCAGAGTCTGAGACCAGAGTCTGAGATCAGAGTCTATGAACAGAACCTGAGATCAGAGTCTGAGAACAGAGTCTGAGATCAGAGTCTATGAACAGAACCTGAGATCAGAGTCTGAGATCAGAGTCTATGAACAGAACCTGAGACCAGAGTCTGAGATCAGAGTCTATGAACAGAGTCTGAGACCAGAGTCTGAGAACAGAGTCTATGAACAGAGTCTGAGACCAGAGTCTGAGAAAAGAGTCTATGAACAGAGTCTAAAACCAGAATCTGAGACCAGAATCTGAGACCAGAGTCCAGACCAGGTGGGTATGTTTTCAGTGTAATCATGGATCTCACCCTCTGTTTGATCTTATCTGGCAGGAAGGGACGAATCATGGCAAAGACTGGCCGGAAGAACATCGGCTCATTGACCAGATGAATTCCTCGAACTTTAAGTGGAAATGAGTCCTAAACACACACACACACACACACACACACACACACACACACACACACACACACACACTCCATGCACGCGCAACACACACACACACACACGCGCGCACACGCACACAGAGAGGGAGAGACAGTAAACAGCTGAACATGATGATCTCAGAAGACATTGGTAAACCAGTCTGTCATCAGAACATCATGTGGTGTAACATCTGTCATAATATAGTTACATAATAACTCAAGTTCTCCTTTTTTGGTAGAACCTGTTATAAAGAGTTGTGTGTTATCGTCATGGCAATAAAAACATTGTTGTGGATGAAGACCTATATGAAGCATGTATAGAGTTAGAACCATGATCGAAGGCCTACCGAGAGAACAGAGGATATTTTTCTGGCAAGGGAGGGGTTAATCTGCAAGGCATGGCCTAAACTCCATCCCTGTAGGTCAAATATGGCCTTCAGGCCCCGCCTCTGCGTCTGTGTCTCCATGGAGATGATCTCTGACGTCATCAGGCTGACCCTGAACACCTGGAAGGCCGACCAGTCCTTTGGGTTCCACTGACCTGGAGACAGACGGACAGACAGACGTTACTGTACTCACACAGACCAGTCAGACGCTACACTGCACTACTCTATATGTTTTATTGACAATGACTCAAATGACTAAAGAACAATTTCTGAGCTTCTACTTTTACTTTGAGTAAATTGTCTGCATGTGTTTTTCGCTTGTTTTGTTGTTTTATCCATGTGAAGCACTTTGTAATCTCTGATTTTGATAAGTGCTTCATAAATAAGCTTTATATTATTATTAAATGATGCTCTTCATTTCTTTTAGCTGTTAGCTTAAGACTGTTTGAGTCTCACAACTGTCATTGCCCAACACCCCTATAAAGATGGTGTTTTGAAGGTAGAATGTTCTAAGTTTATTGTCTTAGCATGCTAACATTAATAAGCACTAGCTGAGGCTGGTGTCATTAATGTCATTGGTTTTAAAGGTATCTGGTTATAAACAAAGTTATGGGCAAACAGAAATTTTGACCTGATAATGGTGCTAGATGCGAGATAAATAGGAGATAAATATTTTTTACAATTTATCCTCTAGAGAACGTGAATGTTTGTTTGGCAAGTCATTCCATAGTTGTGGAGACATTTCGCTCTGAACCAGAAAAACGAAATCAGTAGGATTCATCCTCTGGGGATCAAGAATGTCCAGATTTCAGTCTGGACCAAAGGGGTGGAAAGACAGACTGATTGACAGACGACAGCGCTTCTAGCATGGCTATAAATATATTTCCCTCAGTTATGAAAAAGCTTTTGGAGATGTTTTATAAGGTTTGAAATAGATTCAACATTATAGGCTTTAAAAGGGACTTATGCTTTTATTTTTTTCTTACTTATAGTGTGTTATGTAGGTTTTTGTGCATGTAAATGGTCTCCAGAGTCACAAGGATCAAAGTTTACATCAAAGGGAGAAACTCTGTGAAGGTAAAACCCAATTTTCACCTCTGTATAAAACTCCTCATTGGGGGTCCAGTCATTACTTCCTGGTCCTATTGACGTCAATACATCTCTTGGTGCAGCCCACCTGCAAGCTGGAAACCCCCTGCAGGCTTGGCATGCCCCCACACAAGGCACAGCACATAACTACTTAGAATGAAGACTTTTCTTTAGTTTTGTAGCCATGCTGAAAAGATACCATGCTCTCAATTAAACCTTCTTCTTTTTCACCACGGTTATTTCTGTAATTCACACTTAATGTAATTCACACTTAATGTGGCCGGACAGGGGACTGCATTGTTATTGTGGATCTGTGATTTTTAACCGCGTTAGCAGCAAATAAATGCTTAAATGTTTGTCATATTTCTCCCTCCTTCCGGCTGCCTGACAGTGGGTACGCTTGTTTTCCGCTCCACTCCACCTTGTGAAGGTGGATCAGGTCTGTCATCTTCTGGTTCAGGATCAGACTCTTGCTCAAAACGATAAGGCAGAACCGAAACCGCCACAACCATTTCTTTACACAAGACATGCAGAATTTATCGTTACCATGGTAGTTGCCAGCTAGCTGACCAATCAGAACACACTGGGCTCTGATTGGTCAGCTTCAGCAGGAGGAGGCGGGGCCTTAAAGAGTCGTGAGCTCTAACAGAGCCTTTCAGACAGAGGGTGAAGAGAGTACAGTATAAAATGTACAGAAGAGGAAAACTAATGTCTTTTCAGAACATTAAGAGCATGTAAATCTATTTCAGTCGACACCAAGAATGAAATGATGAACACTAAAAATGGCCATAATAGTCCTCTTTAAGATTACATGAATAGATTATTATTGGACACTTGGGGGCAGCAGAACTTGCTGAAAACACAACAGTGACATGCCATCAACTTGAAAGGTTGTTGTGGTGATTATGTTAGTTTTACACATCCAGCAGTTATACAGCAACATTAGCCTCATTTTGAATATCCTGTATTCACTCTCCTTTAGCTCTGTTTTGGTCTCCACCAGCTCCTGAGGGAAACGTCTGGCTCTTTAGCTGCTAAACCCTCCACTGTCAACACTGTCTGCTGTTTAGAGCTGAGCAGGTCGAGCTTTAAGTTAGTCATCAAGCTTTTTCACTGTTGCTAGAAATGAGGTTGATGAGAGACGAGTTTGTGGTTTGATGGAAAACCAAAGCAATGAGCTAAAACACAGAGCAGCCCGGTGATTCTCTGTGGGTTTGGAATGATATGTGATATATTTCATATTACACATAGTTGTTTGATCAATTGTGAATATATAAAAATGATTAGTGCAGTTTTAAGGCTACAGTAGTTGCATTTTGTCAGGAAACAAACCTGTGTGGGATGAACAACAGATTATGTGAATTTGAGAACAGCTGAGTTAAATGGATAAATGTGTGGCACATTCAGGAGTCATCTTTTTCCCTTTACATGTGGGTATTCCATGTAACGAGGGAGTAGATGAACTGGCTCAACAAGGAAATGTACACTTCATTTAAAACATCTGACTGACATCAAGAATCTGAAACTATAAAGCATATCCTTATAACATGCAGGAAATCTGCAGCAGAGAGAGGGCTACTGATGACAGAGCTACCTGTCCAACCTGTCTTTAAACAGGGAACAGTACTGATACACAAACCTAGTAACTTGACAAAGCCCCATATGTTAGAACAATAACTACAGGTGATAACAGTAACACAACTACAAGGAAGAGGAAGAAGATTTTATTATTCCAGCAAAATGACATCACTCTGACACACATCAACAGATGCCTGAGGTGGGTGAGTTATTTTTGTTGTTCAGTCCTGTTCATTGTCTGCATGAATATTTATGTGACTTGCAGTTTGGAGACTTGGATGGACATGAAAGTCAGATACTGTCTGATGCTGCGGTGGTGTTTAATTTATCCACGGCTCAGTGATGTTTACAGCAGAAACATCTTTGATTTTGTTTAGAAAAGTCCTGTCAAATGATTTCACTTGTTTGCACATGTTCAACAACCGTCCACACACACAAGCTCTGCATACTGACCGATCCTGTAGACCAGCACCCTGCTGCCGCTGTGGTCCCGCTGTGGGAGGACGCCATGATACGACGTGCCGAGGAGGCCGAGCACAGAGAGGGGAGACAGGCAGCCGCTGATCTCAGGACTCTCCCTCCGCCAACGCTGGTAGTTCAGTAAAAGCTGCAGGGGACGAAGGCATGTTCAGGGACATCAGGGAATTCACAGGAGTCACAGGAGGAGTTGGCACAGATCAAATGTTTTCTAACCTTTACTCTCTGTTATCAAACCCTCAGAGTAAATGTCTCTGCTGCTGCAGATCAAAAAGGCAATAAAAACAAAGCTCAGACTGTTGAGCTGTAATAAAAACTGATAAATGTCTGTCTGTGGATCAAAACAGAGCTTAGACCCACTTGGCTGAGCTCCCACTGCTCTCACACAACAATAAGCAACTCAGCCTGTCTGCTGATATGAAACTAACACCTGCTCTGACGGACACGACAGCCCAAACGAAGAGCTGCAGTGATTTTACAATCATTTTTTAGGAATGATGTAGTAATAACTCAGCAACAATACTCTGAAGTACGTAAAGTAAAAGTAAATTCAGTCCTGAATCCAACACTGACACTAACACAACACTACAAACCCTCGTCTGGTTCACTTGGAATCTGTTTGTCACAGTCACAGTTGTTTAAACACACAGTTTGCTACAGGCCAACGAAGACAAAAGCACTGGACACTTTGTCTGAGCTGTTTTAAAACACTGTGTTTGTTGCAAGTTGGTCAGCTTGAGTGAAAGTAGATCAGAGTGCACGGAGCAAACACACATAAATAACATGTTTAGTGTTCATCATTTCATTCTTGACTCGACTAAAAAGATTTACATGCTTTAATGTTCTGAGAAGACATTAGTTTTCTTCTTCTGTACATTTTATACTGCACTCTCTTCACCCTCTGTCTGAAAGGCTGTTAGAGCTCAGGGCTCTTTAAGGCCCCGCTCCTATAAACGTCCCACGGTCCGAATCTGGCCCATACACAGCATGACTGTCAGATGCTACTTCCACATCTATCTAACAATACCACAGGATAACAGCTGGAATCTGCCCAGATGTGGAGGTACAGTATTTGGGCCAGAAGTTTCATTTTGCAAATGTTTTAGCACATTTGCTTTACACGGTGCAAAATAAGTAAAAGACATCTCAAGTAAGGAAAACGATTTCTGCACAGTGACTGCTGCTCTGTGAAATCTGCCAGTGATCATGTACACACGCTGTGCAACACTCTCCCAGAAAAACTCCTCCCTGGCGCGATCAGCAACAGCCCAAAGTTTTCTAAAGTTCCGGTTCAGTTCTTGTTGAATCTCTCAGACTCGCTTTAAGTTGGGTCACTATTGTGTGTGCTCCAGCCCGTCGGAATGATAGTTTTCCTGGGGAGAGTGTGGTCTACCTTCAGAGAGAGATCCACGTCGAAGTCTCTGGCCCGCAGAAACTTGATGAGGAAGCCGTCGGAGAAGGTCCGGACCGCAGACAGCTCGGCGGCCTGCAGGGCTGTCCGCCTCAGGCTGATCACGTACGGCTCCAGCTGCTCCGAGTCGTCCGGCAGCTCACTCAGCTGAGGCCCGTTCATGTCGCCTTCTGGTCCGGTTACATGTCACTGCTGCAGGAGGGGAGAGAGGGGAGGCTGAAAATGGACGGAGGGAGGGAGGGAATGTGTGTCTGTGTGTGAGCGAGAGAGAAAGAGAGAGAGGGAGAGAGAGAGAGAGAGAGAGGAAGCTAAATATGTCTCTGCCTGCCACAGCTCGAGGAACTCAATAAACTACACGTCTGTATGATGTTAAATGATTGTATGTAAATGTATAAAACTGTGGTATATTGTAGTGAATTATATTGTATTTTATTGTATTTAAAAATCTAAATCTGTTTCAGTGAGCATCACTTATTTAATAAACTCCTTTGGCTATAACATGTTTTGTTCATGCCAATAAAGCTATTTGAATGTTTCAATTTAAAAGAGTTTTTTCTTTTTTTGATTTTTACAAAAACACTTTATTTACATATTTGTCATATCAATCATTTGGTTCATTTTACATAAAGTGATTATGCCCATCACATTTTAAAAATAAATTATTAAGTTGAAAATTGTGCGAAATGCAGTTCATCGTTATGAACAGAGCAGATGATGTTCTTGCGGCACCAAACTGTTTTAAAAACCAACCCTCTAAATCTCCTGTTTGTTTGTAAAATCTGAACTCTACCCAGAGTCTGGCCCTGAGCTGTACTTGCCACACTGTCTTGGCCTCCTGCCCTTCTCTGTTTTCTATTCTGTTCTTCCTGCTAACATAAATTGCCATCTGTGCTTCTCCTGAGAGGAAGTTCAGGAGCTGCCACTTGTTTTTGTTGTTTTTGTTGTAGCCAGCTCCCATGATAAAAACCCTCTCCGTAAAAACAACATTAAAGAGACTAAAAACCAATGTTAAAAGAGCGAAGAACTCAGTGAGTCTCTTACACTCAGTCTCATGTTGGTCACAAAATGGACACTTGTTTAAAACAGCAGGATTAAGAACAGAAATAAAAGCATCAGAGTCAATAGCACCATGTAAAATCCTCCACTGTGGGTCTGTTGCTCCGTCCGACCTTGTAGATGCTCTTCACACAATTTTCATAAAGTGTCCTTTTGTCAGCTCTGTGTAGAGTCAGTTTTTGTGCGTTTGTGATTTTCAGTAGGGGGCCGGTCAGTTCTCGCAGCCCTGGGCTCAGGAATATTTCCGGGAAGGGTTCTGCAGCATCAGGTTCATTTCAAATAGAGTGCTTATGCAAGTCACATTTTAAAAATAAATTATTAAGTAAAGAATTTTGCAAAATAGAAAGAAAGAGAGGCAGAAAGACATAGAGAGAGATAGATAGATAGATAGATAGATAGATAGATAGATAGATAGATAGATAGATAGATAGATAGATAGATAGAGAGCGAGAGGCTGACTCTACCTCCCTCATTCAAAATGGCCGCCACTTTCTGGGGAAAAAAAAAAAAATCTAGTCCTACACAACAGAACAGAACTGTTTAGGGGAGTTTGTTTGCTGAATCTGCTAGTGTGTTTTGTCCGAGTTGATGATAGTGTTGTTTGTGGTAGCATAGGCAAGATAAAGGAGAAAATAGTTGTGGTGTGAGGAGCAGTGATGGCTGGCATTATGGGAGTGACTCTGGGACGCCAGTGATCACTGTCTAGCCTCCTGGAGGTGTCGTGGGACCAACTAGACGAAACACTGGTGAAAGGAGGTTCCCACCTGATGACCCCAAAGACATGTTAGTTATCACTGCTCATTAGTCTGTGTAGCTGAATTAATAGTTATCATAGGGCTTAGGGAGTTATTCACTGAGTCTGGTCCAGTTTCTACAGCACAAGTTTCTTGTGTTTATCTTAAAAAATAAAGGGAAGCAGCCACTGTTGTAAATGGAAATATGTACATTTACTCAAATACTGTACTGAAGCTCAAAACTGAATTTTCCATTCAATACTACTTTATATTCTGCTCAGTACATCTCTGCAGCCCATCATCTTAAATATGATCAATAACTGTGTTGTCCACCTCCCTGTGAGGGTCATTCAGCCTCACAGGGAGGCGGTACAACACTTTTATAACTGTACTGAATCCCTGTAGATGTTATACAGTATAGGACCCAGAGTCATTACAGACCACACCGCTGTTGGTGTTCATTATTTTGTAGCATTTACTTCACCAAGTGATATTCAGTCATTTCTGGAGGATAAAGTGTTGTTGTGCTCCAACTTCTCCCCCTGCTGCTCATCAGTAGCTACTGCAAGCCTGAGGCCTCCACTGCAGTGACCTAGCTTCATCCATGTGTCTGTGTGGATTAACCTGTCCAACAGTCTTCAGTGGTCAACATGTATTTGAATGTATCTACACATATGTGATGTAATGGTTAGAAAAATCAGATTCCACTGTCTGTAATCATCTATTTCAAGAGAATATCAGCCAACAACTGCACCACAGTATCTCCACAATATGATGCAATGCTTGTGTTAAATCCTGCTTTGTGAAACTTCCTGATTTTGTTGTGTGTTCTTGTGTATTTTGTGTTGGTCTAGCCGTGTACTGATACTATAGACTGTTGAGTTGCATCATAGTTAGAGCTCCATATGGTGTAAAGGCAGATGTCCATGTGTAGTTTGATTATAAAGCAGGTCTAGGTTCTATATTAATACTGTGAAAGTATCAAAGCCTCAGTCCACAGAGAAATGCACACAGCCTGTATTCAGACACTGAGCCTTAAAACCAGCCGTCAGGACTTCTGGAACTTTGTGATGTCACAACAAAACAGTCACCACTCTCTGCCCTGCCCCAAGCCCCGCCCACCTGAAACCACTATCCAACCTTGCAGGATTTGGTTTCTCTAAGTGTTTACCTGAAATCTGCTGTATTTTTATTGGATCACTCAGAAAACAGTCAGCCAATCAGAAGAGAGGCTCAGAGCCTCCTCTCTTCTGATTGGCTCACTGACCTGTTGTTACTAGAGCTCCAGGGAGAAGCCTGAGAGAGGAGATGTAAAACTACATTCAGATGGTTTTTGGTTCTTAATTCCACAAATATACTGTATCTTCTTATGGATCAACCCTTCAAATAAAACACAGAAGAAGAGGAGAATATGTAGCTTTAATAAAATGAGTCCTGTTCTGTCCACCTGTCTGTACACAAATAAAATCTTGCGGGTCGTTTAAATTTGCAGAAAACTCCAGCTGCTCAGCACTGCGTTAGTTTCTTTGATTCTCTGGCTGGTATTTATTCTGCTGTTGTCATTAAATGTGTCCACTCTCATCAGATACCTCATGGTCCAGTGTTGTGCATTGTTAGTGGTGGAGTCTGTCATTCCTGCGCTGGATTCAGAAGGCATGTACCTCCATCAGTGATCCACATGTGAGTCACCTGCTCCCACTGATCCATAAACAAGTCATTTCTAATGGAAGTCTGGTGTCGTCAATTCAACCAGTATTTAAATCTTTAGAGTTTGACTCATGTAAATGTATTAATAAAGAGCAGTAGAAACAAATAAATGATGCATCATTTACATCTGATTTCATCACAGAACGCTGCTTCATTACTTTTTTCAAATATTGTCAATTTTACCTTTTTATTTAAAGTTCTAATCTGTAACTTTTCCCCATTAAATGATTAAAAACATCTAGAGCGATGTTCTACATGTTGCTGAGTTGTGTTCTTACATCACAAATGTTTCCATCAATTCTCAAGCCAGAGAAATCTGTGATTTTAATCACAGGTTTCATTGGTCGCCTGTCAGTGACATCATATCCTCTATGATCATGTGTCAGTGTGTTTGTCTGACAGAAGCTCAACATTGACTTTTATCTAGTTTGAAGCCACATACACTTTTTCCACCTTGGTGGTTTTCAGCTCTATATTTGAACCAGATGAAGGATTTTAGTCGTCGGACGTCTGGATCTGAAGTTATCAGAGAAACAAGCTGAGGAAATGTTAGACAGCTCAGCTCCCAGCTGCTGGAGACGTCCTGTCCTGTGTCACTGAAGAGCATCGCTGAATCTCTTTCAAAGTCAAACTGCTTTATTCAGTGTTTCTACTGGTTTTAATCCCCTGGTGTGTTTGTTATGGAGAGGAGGACACCTCTGTGGATGATTCAGCTGCTGGTAAAAACCTGCTGAACGTCTGGTTCATAAGTTATCAGAGAAACAATCAGAACAAAGGTTAGCATCAATCTCAGCTCCAGCTCTTCCCTGAGTCTCTGTCCTCCGTACAGCGTCGCTCAAACACTGACTTTAAATGTCAAACTGCTTTATTCAGTGTTTTTAACAGATAGAATCACCGGGTCTGTTTGATTTCCTGAACCACTGACACTGAAGCTGAAATGTGACGGAGAGGAGGTATTAAGTCTCAGGTATCTCAAAATCGTACTTTAAGTTTATATATTCATATCTTCACTGTGGCCTGAGTCCACGGAATTAAACTACAGGCTTTAATGTCTCTGTCACTTGGAAGGTGAACAGGGTGAACCAGGCACCTGTGGAGCATCACGCTGCTACTGGAAACACAAGACAAGACCCACAGCACAGTCACCCATTATACAATGCTCCTAATCAATATACTCAATATCCTATACAATATACTCAATATAATCAACAGATCTGGGTCACTCTGCAGTGGGGTCAGAATGTGGATCTTTTTCCAGGTCTGATAGAGCTTGAGGTGAGTGAGTCTCAGGTCGTCAAACATTTAGACCAGATGACTTTAACAAAGAGAATCATGTTATCTGAGAGGCTCCAAGCTCCAGACCCTGCAGTCAGCTGAGGACTGGAGGATGTCGAGCGCTGTCTCTGTGTGTGTGTAAACAGAGGGACCAGAGAAACCAGAGAACACATGGTGTCCTCACAGGTCGGGATCACAACAAATGTCTTTAATGATCAGACTCATGACACTTGACTTGAGAAAAAAGCCTTTAACAACATGGTGACTGCATCATCCTGGACCTGCAGCATCCTAAACCTGCAGCATTCTGGACCTGGAGCTGCAGCGTCCTGGACCTGGACCTGCAGCGTCCAGTGGACCTGGACCTGCAGCATCCTGGACCTGTTGCCTTGGGAACCTGAGCTCAGCTTGTCTTCAGCAACAACCCTGTTTTCCCACTGATGCATCAGATGTGAGGATAGAGAGCCTGGAGCTGCTGGTGGTGTTTCTTCCTCTGTAGAACCAGATTCCTCAGTCTGTTTTCAACACAAGGACTTTTACATCTTCTGTCTCACCACGTGATCCTGATGCTTCACTACAGAGCTGAATGTCTGACAGTCATCTGATGCCAAACTCAGTCCTTTGTGGTTCCTGATGAGGTCTTAGAGAGACAGTAGTAGTAGCAGTAACAACTCATACAGACAGGTTTGTTCTCAAGTGGCACACAGAAGCCATTTAATAGAGTTTGTGTCATTCACCAGTTCACCAAATGAAACTCACAAGTGGGTCCAGACCTGTTCTACAAGTACAGATCTCCACAGGGGAAACACTCATGTGACTTAATGATGACATGTTGGAGGCTGTATTCATATTTTCTTGTTGTTTCAGTAACACCACTGTCCTGACACTGATATATTAGTTCTCTCTTTGGCAACATTTGTGTAAATGAAACTTTCCCAAACAGACTGAAGCAATTTAATGTGAGTTCAACTTAAAAACCGGAGTTCTCCTGCTGCCTTCACAGTCGTTTGATGGATTTTAAAATGTGAGACCACCTGATTTAAGTTCACTGAACTGGAGAAAACAAGTCAAACAAACGGAAAATATGAGACTGAATCAACAACTGGTCAATGAGAAAAGCTTTACAGTGTCATATGCACATGAACAGGTAACATCATCAGGCCAATACCAGTCTGCTGAATCTGACTTGTGATGTTAGTACAAACAAAAAGAATACGAACATGTTCTTGCATAAGGCCTGATGAAACTGGAAAATGGAACTGGTGAAAAAATCCTTAAGACGTTCGGAACGAACTTCTGTTTGGTCGAGAAGGATCCGCCTCTCTGGACCAGAGCTGGGTATCAGTGGTTCTGGTTTCTACACAACTCATGTTTTCATCTGACAAAAGAGGCCGAATGTTTCAGGATTTAAATGTTTAAACACAAGCTGTTGTTCCAGAACTGTGCCTGAATAAAATCAGATGAATTCTGATTGAAATCTGGAATCTGAATCCTGAACTTTAACTGTGAGATGCCAACACGGTATCTCACAAACAACACACTTCTGTCTGTGTGTGAGACCCAGCCCTGTCCTTGACTGGCAGCTTTCATTTGGACTGACACCTGGAAAAGGGGGGATAGTTTCACCGTCTGTCACAGTCTCACAAACCTCCACATACAAGTGTGGCGTTCAGATGTAATGGGAGAGTGAGGCATCACCTGGAATGTGGAAGAAGAACTAAAGGTATGTTTTCTAACTTTAATCCCAGTACACCATGGTCCAAATCAGTCACAGCATGGTCAGCATGCCGGAACAGAATCATCAATCAACAAGAGAAACACATAACATGTGAAACACACAACTCCATCAGGCTCTGTAATGGGACACAAACAGTTTTCAGAGATCATCGTATGTTACTTCCTGGATTTGGATGCTAAGCTAAAAGCTATGCTAAAGCAGATCTCTGGGTGTATTTATGTGAGAAACATACATTCATGGAGTAAAGGTCTCAAATGGTACATTCATTAAAGGACTGCCAAAAAAAAATGAGGGATCAGGTGACAGGAAGTCAATAAGCTCACGTCCTGCTTGTGCATCAGCAGGCTAAGGTGCAAAACTATGTCCTGAGCTCAAATCTTTATAACACAGGAATAATGGGTTTATGATAATCTAATACGTCTCTCAACATGAAAACCTGAGGAAGTAGAAAATAAAAGTCCTTTAGAAAGTTCAACTGTTCTCTTTGGATGGAATGATTGTGTCCGCTGCAAGAAAATGATAGAAGACAGACAGCAGTTTCAAAGCTTGTGTAAAAAACGTTCTGATTAACAGATAGAAACAAGAGACGAGTCCTGAGCTCCAGAGGTGCAACAAAAGGCAAAGTAGAAAACTTAGAGCTGCTACTTTTACTGTCCAGAGACAAACTGAGGTCAGTCAGAGAGCTGCTCATCTGTGACTGTAGTTGTATCATGAAACGACAAAGGATCCAGGAAAAGCTGCAGCCACAGATGCATTTTATATGACTGAACTAAAGACCTCATTAAAAATGTTTTCAGTTTAATGTTTTTTAAGATCAACATTTTCTAGCTCACTCCAATTTAAAGCTTCATCCTGGATGGGCACAGAGGTTTATTGCAAACCTCAAGCTACTTCCTGAGCTGCCAAAATCCAGCTCCAAGGAGGCACCTGTAAGGTCAGGGTTTGGGTGGTGGAGCAGAGTTAAGCTGCATGTCATTGCTAAATGTTTTGTTTAATAGGCTAACTGCTGAGCTGCTGTTACTGGTGAGCTAATCACAGCTAACTCTAGGATAACCCCTGGAGATTCTCCCTGCTGTTCTGTTTACTCCCTCCTGGTCTGTTGTTCACTGTTGTACACAGTGTTTAATAAAAAGTTTAATAAAAGAGAAAAGAAAATCAGCTTGCTAACATCCTTTAGCTCGTTAGCTTAGCTTGGTTACTAATGGAACAATAAGATCACACAGTTTATTTGTATCTGTAGAATTAACTCCTGTTTCACAACTGTGAGCAAACAGTTTTTACTCCGAGGATTTTAAATAAAAGTGAAGGGTGCAACACAACTAATGAGCTACGAGCTATTTCCTTTATGGACTCTGTAGCTCTCTGTCCCCTAAAAGGTTAATGCTGTCAGGACAACCAGCTGTTGGTGGAATCAACTTTGAACCTCGAGGGGCAAAAAAATCTTGTGGATTTCCTTTGTACTATGGAGTAGTGGTGTCTCCATGCAGCATTTCAATGGCTAAATTTTACCCCAACACTGACTGCTGTGTTTTAATTTTTTTTTATGACATCTGCAACCAGCACAGATGACCTGACTGAGGTTTAATCTTTGTTTCATGTTGCAAGATTTACTTACACACCAGAGGAAGTTGTAAATAAAGTTTGCAGAAGCTCTATCTATTAACACAGTTTCTCAGTGTTAACGCTGAGCAGCAAGCCCCCACTTCAAATATGTCACACCACTTAGGGAATGTGAAAAACTAAGCTCTAATCTTCACTCTATTAAAAACATATAGAAAACATTTTCTCCAGTGTAATCACAACTACCCGTCTCTACCAAACCATAGAGATGATTTGATTTTGTGGCTCTAATGACTTGGCAGCACAGGGGTGGGGGAGGGGGCATTCCTCAGCTGGTAGAGCAGGTTGGGCACTGATCCCTGGATTGGCAGGAAGAACCGGCATAAAAACCTTTGCCAATTCAAATATGCAGATGGTACCACCTGTCACTGCAGCGGCTGAAACACAACAATGATCTGGCAGCACACACTGACATTAGTGTCTGCAGCGCTGACATGATGACAAGAAGTTTGTGAAAAGAGTCGCCAATATGCAGATGATGTGATGGTGTCTGTGTGTGACCTGCAGTTGGTTGCCGTTAATGGAAATTCACATAAATTCTGGTATCATAACATGAACAAATAAAGACCAGCAGGTACAGGTCTTACACCAGTCAGCTGTTCAGTTTCTCTGTTTAACAGAAACACCTGATTCATTTCAGTTTCTCCTCCTGACTGATGTTAAACATGTCTGACATGTTGTTGTACTCACCACATGTTCACATCTACTGATCTAATTAGAGCATAACGCTAAATTTATCAAGGCATCAGGTAAACATGGAGGAAGTTTAGAGTTCACTTCACTGGGCAGCAGGAAGCAAGTAAGACTTTCTAATTTAATCAAGATAAAAGTCCTGGTTCTCTCTGCTACTGTGGTAAAATAAAGGCGATTTCAGAAGAAAACTCACAATGTGCTGAATATTACAATTATATATTGAACATACAAATATATTAAAATTACTTCCTCAATCAGATTCAAACCCACATGGATCCTTCAGCACCAAACCAGCTGGATGAGCCACTTCCTTCAGATTCAGCTTGAACTGTACAGTCCTTCTGACTGCATGTTTGAGGGTGTAAGTGACAGACAGGTGACCTCCCCCCTTTTCATCATCATCATCATCATCATCATTATCATCACATTTCAATGAACCAACATCACAGACTATTTCATGAACCAGCAGCTGCTGATCAATCAGTCTTCTGTTTTTCTCTCAAGGTTTCAGGGGACAAATTAAAATTCCTCGGGTTGATTTTTAAAAAGTGCTGGGTCTACAGGTGATGACAGGTGGTGTTCAGGCATCGTTCCCACTCATACATACATAAATAAGTTGGCATACATTCAGCAGTAATGTTTCAGGATATTTTCTCACACAGGGTGACTGGGAGTTACTGCGGGACACTTCAGACCATCATCTTCTTCTAGAAACAACAAGTTGTTTCTCAGCTGAACAGTCATTCCAGCTGCTGTTCCAGTAGTTTTTCAATTTCACACCACTTCCTGTTTTGGTCCATGTCATATTTACAACAACGGTTACAAATAATCTATAGTCTGTGTGTTTGTGTGTGTGTGTGTTGCATGTCCATGAACAATTAAAACATATTAAAATCACTGTCTTTAGGCATTGCAATTCACTCTTCCTATAAAGTGTCTGTCTGTCTGTCTGTCTGTCTGTCTGTCTGTCTGTCTGTCTGTCTGTCTGTCTGTCTGTCTGTCTGTGTGTGAGAGAGAGTATGTCTAAAGCATGTAAGGTGCAGGTAGGCAGCTCTGTGATGATGGGACAAGCTGAAGAGCACGGACAGTCAAGCCAGCGACTGACTGGTGGTACCAAATGTTCGTCTGTTGACCAGCGCGGCGGGGGGGGCACACGGTGTGACCCTTTTATTCACTCACACGAAAAAACAAAAAGGGGCTTCAGGTTCAGTTCCAGGTCCAGACTACAGGTGGATTCTTCAGGTGCAAATGGTACATCATTTATTCAAGGCCTTTTTCTAAGTGTTACCTGGATGCTGGGATTGGAGGAGGAGACTAATAGCTGAGGGTGGCGGGGGGGGAGGGACCTTTTGGACCTGGACAGCAGTTGGGCTGGAAGTGTCGGCCTCTCCCTGTGTGGGAGTGTGTGGCACTGAGAGGGAGTGGGGACACTTCCTGTCAGGGTGATCGGCTTGCATTCCATTTAGCTGTGTTGTTCATGCTAGGCTGAGAACCAAAGCAAATGGCTGAGGAGTGAGTGTAGTTCTAGAGTCCACCTCTGGGTGGTTGAGGATGTCAGGGAGAGATGTCTCTCACAGAGTCTAAGTGATAATCCCACCTGTGGTTATTATTGAAGGAAGCAGTGGGAGCTCTGTGGCCGTCCTGCTGGGCTGTTTGTTCAAGTCTTCTAAGTTCTGAGCCCAGGCAGAGGCTCGTGCACTGGAAAAGGATTATGTAGGCATGAGAGTTCAAAACTCATCCTCGGTTCAGAGTTCGACGCCCGACTCGCTGGGTAATTCCTCGGTTAGGAGGCGGAGTTCCCTCCTTTGAATAGATTCTGGACCCAGGCGAGGGGCGTGGCCTGATGTCAGGAGTCATCATCAGTGTCCTCTATCAAAACCTTGGTGTCACGGGTCTTGGACCTGGAGGTGAGAAGAGAGACTGTGATTTAGACTCAGAAAACAAACTGTCACCTCCAAACTTTACATTAGAAAAGCTGCTGTGCTTCCATATGACCTGAAGCTACCAATCACAACAAAGAGCAGATGTTACACAGTATACTTAGAATGTACAATGGGAGAATGTGAGTGGTTTGGTGTGAGGCTGATATTAAAAACATGAGGGAGACAACAAAAATAATTTCAAAATAAAACCATCATGAAATCATAAATAGAAAAAAGAGTCCAAACAGTCATTTTAGGGGAAGATCATGAAATTTATAGTGTTGAATTACTACTACTACTACTACTACTAATAATAATGATAATGAAAATAATAATAATTATGATGTAGAGTTTCAAAGAGAAGGGTGTCAGACTTCAGCCTGTGGTCATCAGTAAAACAGTAGGTAGTTAAAGACAAGCCAACAGCACAGGTTTGACTATTTCACTGAACACAGTGACAGTAAAGTTTGTGTTAAATGTATCACACAGTAGATCAGTTTTTATATTATGTCAATTAGACCTGAAAAATAAATGTACTAACTTACACCAGAGCTTTACTGTCCCATGTTTACAGTTCTTCATCCACATTCATTTCAGTCAGTCACACAATAAAACAACAGTGTGACTATATCAGCATCATCACTATCACTGTGGTTCAGAAATAACACCGTCATCTAAAGACATGTTTTCTGTTGAGCCATTTCAATAGTAACAACTTTAGCAGCCCATCTCATTGCATGTTATTTAAAGATTTTAATATAAAGCTAGCTAACTAGCAAAAACATTAACTAATCTCTTGAAAAGTGTAACAGCCACCAACTCTGCCTGTGTCACATGGGATGTTTCTTGTTAGCTCGAGATAACAGACCCTGTTAAGAGATTTGTGCCATCGATTTTTCAGTATAAAATGAGCTTCCAGCTGTGTGGGGACACACCATTATTTTCAGCCTCTCATTAGAGTTGACATGACCTCTGCCTTCTGGGTTGAAAGCTTTGCCTTAAAATGTGTTTCACTTATAATGAAATGAATGAAAATTCACTTATAAAATCTTAGATCTTGAATAAATTCCTTCATGTTGTCCTCAATCATTTTCTCTTGGTGTTGCTGTAAAGACTCACTGCGAGGCGAGTCGTGGTCTGCGTAGACTCATGCTGTAGCTCCTCTTCCAGCTCTTCTTGCCCTGCCGGTTCCTGACTCCATCCTCCTGGTCCATCATCTGCTCCAGCAGCGTCTGGTCGTCTGCGTTGAGCGGAGCCACGCTGATGTCTCGGACGGCCCTGAACTCACCACAGTTGTTCAGATGTTCGTTCTCCAGGCGGAAGAAGTTCCACACAAAACGCCTTAGAAGAACAAACAGAGCAGTCAGAGGCTGATTTATTCACATTTTCATATGGAGGGTCATGTTTGCAAATATTGTCTTAAGAGATTTTGTGTTTAGATGACATTTAAATGTTTATTTCAGCCATTATTTATATTTATACATAGTATTCCAGTGTGTCAAACATACAGAGACCAAAAGAGAAAGTAAGAAAAAAGTAAATAAAAGACTTTCACTGCTACATTTATGCAATTAGAATGATCTTATCATATTTATTTATCACCATTTACCAAGTGAACAAGACATTCTTAGTTCATCCACAGGTTTAACTCTTTGACAGATATGCATCTTCTTTTTACATTGGTCCTTACCCTCGTCTTTTTTGAGTGGGAGTAAATGATTTTGTGCTTTCTACATTATCTGTGCAGTTTTAAAGTCAAAGCAGATCATGAAAGTTTAAAGCATATGAATGAATAAATAGTGGGTTGGTTGGTTCATAATGATCTGATTGACTGTAAATTGAGTTTGTGTTTGTTTCTCCATGTCTCCACACAATAAGTCATGTATGGTAATATGAGAGAGCAGTATAATATATGTAGTGATTTCTGGTTTAAAATGTGTTGCAACACTGCAACAGTTTTAGCTCATTTTGTCTTTACATCGTTTATTTGTGGCTTTCAACATAATTTATGATCAATAACGACACCCAGAACCATACTTAGTTTGACTTAAATTAAATGATAACTTGTTAGTATCAAACCATGTCTTATCGTTTTCAATTCTCCATCCACTGAATTCAGAAGCTGTTCCAAACTCTTCCCGGAGCAGTATAAATAAAACAAATGTGTGTTAACAGGCAGAGTTTGGTCATTTATTTTTGTAACTGATATAAAGCAGCTGTGAGTTTCTGAATGTTAATAGGACAAAACAAACTATTTAAAGACTTCTCACTGGTTCAATTTGTAGAATAATCTACATAAAAAATGAAAAGAATAACTCTGTTTTCTCTTTGTCTCATTCTATTATTTACTGTTGTGATCTTCACCAGATCCACATGCACAGCTTTGCAGGTTCAGATAAGAGTAACTTAATCCTGTGTAAACTCTGTACAAGACGAGCAGAGTGTAAAGACTGGAGGAAGAAAAACAACAGCAGGAAGAAGAGACATGGATGAAATAATAAAGTGGTGGTGGTGGCGGTGGTGTACCTAAAGACCTCCATCGGGGCGAGAACAGTCGCTAGTATGTCAGAGATGCCATGCAGACCAGAGACTGTGCTGAGGGTGACGGTTAAAGTCCATGAGAACCGCAGCAGCACGTCCTCCACTATAGCACTGTAGTAATAGGCCTGAGGGAGAGAGAACAGGAAGAACACATCAGACCTGACCAGAGTTCAACTGCGTCTCAGCCCGTCCCCTCCACAACATGGACACGTACCTTATGAGGGTAGACTATCTCCTCCCTCAGGAACGTGTTCTCCCCTGCGTTGCGGTCAAACAGACCCCAGTCCATCTTCAGATCCCAGACCAGTGTGTAACAGGAGCTGACCACCAAACAGCTGATGTACAAGTAGAAGAAGATTTGGGCATCATCGTGTTTCTCAGCTGCGGAGGAGAGAGGGAGGGAGGGAGGGAGAGAGAGAGAGAGAGACATGAGGTCAGATTTATATGTGTAAAAATGGAAACATCAGTCAAAGATGTTTGTTTTCTAATGATCCAGACACCTGGGTTTTCCACCGCCAGAGCACCTTTAACTTCTCTGATGATGAGAAGCTCAGACTGATTTAAAATCTCTGCTCTTTCTGTCTGTTAACCAGCTGTTACTTCAGCCTCTGACACACAACAGGAGAAGCTGCTCCATACTGAACATACAGAGAAACAAAGAGAAACACTGACGCCTGGGAAACAACATGTTACAGTCTACTCAGCTGTCACTTAGAGCTGGTGACTGCAGTAAACACGTTTACCCTGCAGGGAGCACCGTCACACCCTGGACTCAGCTCCGCCCAAGATGACTGTGATTAGTTTAGAGAAATACAAACCAGAGCGTTTCTTCCTACTAATGGTGCTGTGAAAGTAATAGAAGATGGTTGGTTTATCATTTCAATACCAAAATGTGGAGTTGAAGTTATTAGTTGAGCATTCATTCATTCTTTTCTCCTGTGACGTTGATGCATCATTAGCAGTAAATGTGTTGCAAAGGCCCGCTGATCTCCTCATCCTGTTAAAGAGGTTATCTGAAAGTCAAGGTGTTGCATGAGGGTTGAGTTCTTAAGTAACTTTAGATGTCTTGCATTCAAGCACATATGTGTAAGTAGTAGATATGTAAATGTAGGTCTTGTGGTTGGTTGCTATTGGTTGTAAACATAAGGTGATGTGTATCTTGACCAATCTGTGTTCACTTCTTTATCCCATGTTCTTGTTCTATAAAAGGTTACTCGCACTCTGTGTTGTTTGGACAAGGAATGATTATACTTCCCAACTTTGTGTGAGCCTTGTCCCCTTATTGATCAATAATAATCTTTTTTACTCATCTTCAGTCAGTCAGTGTCTGTGTTTGTATTTCTGTGCTTATGTCCAGTGATTCACCACAATACACCACCACAGTACAGCCAGAACTTCCTCCAGCTCTGACACAGGTATTCAACCAGAGGGCTGCATGAGAAAACTGGTCGAACACCTGACCGTAAAAAACAAGATGACCCGTCACATAGCAACAAATATATGGTAAATTCAACCTAAAAGCTGAATTCAGCATTTATACAACAGAGTGACATGACCTGTTTAATTTTGATGGACCAGCAAAGAGAGGAATTACAGCTAATGGCTGAACGCCAGAAAAGTAAAAGAAGAAAGACTGGCGTTAACATCTCTGCAGAAAATGCTTTTTCCAACTGTGACTTTGAATCTTGATGTTTCCTTATTTATTTTTTCACTCCACTGTTGAACTGATGAAACTCTACTGTAACAAGAATTTATCAAGACGACAGGAACAGGAAAGAAGTAAAATGTTCATCTTCCTAAACTGCCTGGGTGCTCTTTATATTCCAATAAAGCTTTATCCTGAACGCAACAAACATGTGCAGTGCACACGAGTCTCCGCCCTACCTTTGTGCGTGCTGTAGAGAGCAGCGAAGGTGACGACAAAGAAAGATGTGGAGTATTTCCCTGCATTGACCAGGTGAGGGAAGGCCCGCTTGGTGTCACGGTAACGCCGCAGACACTGGACGAAGCGGAACCACGCAGGAAGACACTGGATGACGGCACGGACGCCGTAGGAGTAGGAGTTGCACACGTCTCTACCTGTAAAAACATGACACGCAATAAGATGTGAGTCTGTCATCACGGGATCAGCTGTCACAGCAGTGTTTCATCTCAGCCTCACCTTCACTGCTGATGAGCCCGTCGTGTTTCTTCCAGTCCAGTTCGAAGCTGTAGAAACAGATCATGTACTCCAGGTCCATCAGAACCACCACTAGAGAGTTCAGCTGGTCGGCGAGCCAGAAGTCTGCGAAGCCCACACGATGGAACGGAGCCGTCACCACGCGAAACTGTGGAGGAAGACCAAGTGAGGAAGTGCCTCAGCCACTAACACTAACACCATGGCCAGGATCAAGAAGACCCAACAGCAGCTCCATCCCCTCCAGAGGCTCGAGCAGGCCAGCCCACCCATCACCTCCTTCTACAGGGGCGCCACCCACACTGTCCTCATCTACTGCACCACTGCCGAACAGAAGCAGCTGAACGGGACTGTGAGACCAGCAGGGATGGAGCACCTGCATCAGGACCTCCAGGTTCTTAAACAGCTTCATACTCCAGCCTGTGAGGATCATCAACACTCTTGCCCCCCCATCATCAACTCGTAATTATAAGAAGAGATCCTGTAATTCTCGTAATTATGAGAAAACTTGAAAGGTGTAAATCAGTTTTTCGATTGCTGGTTTGCTGGTTTTTGATTTCAAACAGAAAAACGGAGCAAACGAGCCATATTTCTGTTTTTCCAGTGTCCATGAACATTGAATATCAAGTATTAAAAATGTATTATTTATGAGATTTTTCTCAGACTTTTCTCATAATTGCAGGATCTTTTCTTATAATTACGAGATACGAGATCCCTGCAGGTCTCAAAGATCTCGTAATTATGAGATAAGTGCACTTCCATGTGCAAGAGACAGTGACAATGAAGAAATCTAATCTAATCTAACATCTTCTTTGGTTTAAATCACTTCCCACCAACAGTCAGTCCTAACCTCACTGACTTTTATGACCTGCCTGTTGCTTTATAGAATCATCATCTTAGTTTAAAGACAGGGACACTCTTTTCCAGAAATGTTAGATAGTTAAATTTATGCCAAACAATTGAAACATCTTTGTGAACAATAAAGACTGGGATTCACTGAATCAAAAACCAAACAATATGAAGCCTGTATGAGTGAGTGGAGTTACCAGGAGCTTGAGCAGCCAGAAGCGTGACTTGTAGTAACACGTCTTGAAGGGGTTGATGAGGAAGAGGAAGAACAAGCCGTACAGAGCAAGAGGGTTGGCCTGCATCGGCACCAGGATACTGTCACTGAAGAGACACGACAGCAGGCTGACGCACCACAGCACCCCCAGCATACCTGCAATCTGCACACACACACACACACACACACACACACACACACGCACAGAGAGAGAGAGAGGGAGAGACTCAGACATCTCCATCAGACTCATGGTGAAGCTGACGGGTAACACACTCTGTCACTGTGACCTGAGTGTCTTCAGCCATTTGCTGTGTGTGTGTGTGTGTGTGTGTGTGTGTGTGCTCAGACCTCAAACAGATGTTGGTGTGACAGGTTGTTTCTGGGGTTGAGTTCAAATATGAGAACATGGTTAACTCCTGCCTGTCTCCAGCCGTAGGTGTTGATGCCTGGAAGAAAAACATACAGACAGTCAGTCAGTCAGTCAGTCAGTCAATCAGTCAACAAGTGTATGTGTGTGTGTGTGTGTGTGTACATGTGCATACCTAACAGGAAGAGGAATTCTATCAAGAGGAATCCTCCTCTGTAGATCCGGACCATAGGCCAAACATCAGCACTACGGATCACCACCGCTCCTGATGATAGGGAGAGAGAGAGAGAGAGAGAGAGAGAGAGAGAGAGAGAGAGAGAGAGAGAGACAGATAGAGGGAGAGAGAGGGGAGTAAAAAAGACAAATGAAAGAAGAGCAGATTTTTCAGACTGTTTATACTTTTATACTGTTTTCATATAATGTAATGTTTGTTAAATACTTAAATACTAATATTAGTAATTGAGTAGGAAAGAGGTGTCGTTTCTGTTATTACAACGTTTCGGTTATGAGTTATTGAGTTATTACTTTACAGAAGTATATTTATCTCATTATCACAGGATAATGAGCTTTGTTATCTTGAGATAACTGGATAAAGAAATATGTACGAGTACTGCTTTTCTGGGCTTCCGTACTGATGGGACCAACACATTACAAATACATATCTGGTCTGATTCACTTGATCATCCAAAGTTTCAGACCTAGGAATCCCACAATGTTATTAGATGCTTGGATGTTTGTGTGTGTGTGTGTGTGTGTGTGTGTGTTACCTGTAATGACTACAGTAACCATTAAGACGAGGAAAACTCCACAGTAAAGTCCCACTCGAAAGGTGGTCCAAGCAGGAGCAGGCTGCAGGTACAGAGACACACAGAGTCAACAATATGACATGATGAGGACATGATGAATACATGATGAGAAAATGATGAGGACATGATGAAGATATGATGAAGATATAATGAAGACATGATGAGGACATGATGAATACATGATGAAGACATAATGAGGACATGATGAGGACATGATGTCTAGTGATGGGATCCGTCAACATGTTGACATTATGACCCCTGAGTACTCCCCCTGATTACTCAGTAGTCATGGCTACATTACTACAGTACTCATTAGTTATGGGTGGGACCACACCCATTCCCAGCCAGCTGCAGTCACGACTTTAATGCAGATGTCACAGATGTGATCAGAACAAGGGCCTCAGTGTATAAGGGCATTATGCTGCTGCTGTTCTCCTCTTTTATTTCATTACATCTTCAAACACACTGTATCGTTTCATCATAGATTTAATAACATCATTTGCTTTGGCAACAATGTAAACTCAACATTTATATCAGTAAAGCTCATTCGATTTGAAGGGGCTGTGTTTGGAAAGACAGAGGTTAAAGAGAGATGTAAATGTAATAAAAAAGAAGAAATAAAACATAAAAACAAAGAAAAAAAAAGAGAGAGATGGTTTCTCCCCAACCCTTCTCAATGATCACCTTTAAAGACTGTGTCTACTGGGAGGAGCATCCTCGTTTTAATGCTTGAAAATGATCACTGTTACCTAATTTAAATGGGACGTTTGGTTTGTTATTTTGTGACTGTAAACGTTTTGTGGGTGAGAGTTTTTTGTGCAATGAGGTGACAACAGGAACGAGTGAGTGAGAGTGAGTGTGTGTGTGTGTGTGTGTGTGTGTGTGTGTGTGTGTGTGTGTGTGTGTGTGTGTCTGACCTGTGCAGCTCCCAGTGGAGGCACCCTCAGCCTCTTCATGGCCCTCTGTCTGTCACCACCTTCCAGCTCTGTTGTGACCAGAGCCTGAAACACACACAGAGGTTTGAGTGTCGTCCTCTTCCTCTCTGATATGTTAGCAGGATTGTACTTAGCTACAGCCATGCTAATGAAGTGAATATGAGCAGGATGACACGTACAGTACAGGCCTTAACTGAGTCATGTGACTGTATATCTATACATATGTGTGTGTACCTCAGTCTCAGAGATGAGCTGTGTGATCTTCTTGCAGGTGTAAAATGGAGCCACTTCAACATGGGCCACCCTCCAGTCAGCCCCCCTCGATGTCTCCAGAATCTTATCATGCTTCTTCAGGATCTTCCTGAAACCTGTGAAGTTCAGGTTCTACAGAGAACCAGAGAACCAGAGAGAGAGAAAGAGAGAGCGAGAGAGATTATTATAATTAGTAGTAGTAGTATTATAGTAGACCTATAATACAATGATTACTGTTCTTTTAACTTATTCATTCTATTTTACTTCATAGATTATACGTGTGTATGTATGTATTTTTCCTGATATCATTATTATACTGTCTGTAACGCTTTGGAAATATTGTCCACCTCACATTCATGTCAATGAAGTATACTGAATTGAGAGAGAGAGAGACAGAGAGAGAGAGATGTTTAATGAGAAGAATCAGATGTGTCCAAAGCAGCTGATTGAACAGACTTGAAAGATGTGAGACAGTAAAAGAAGGAGGGACAGAGCTCTGCATGTGGTCTCTGCATGTGGTCTCTGCATGTGGTCTCTGCATGTGGTCCAGCTGGGACTGAATGTACTGTATAAAGTGGGGTAACACTGTAAACACCCTAGTCCATCTAGTGACGGGATCACAGTGGCAGAGACACCCGTCACTGTGTCGATGTTCTGACCTCCGACTACACAGTAGCCATTACTACATCATTACATGATTCTCAGTACTCATGGGTCGGACCACACCCAGCTTCCAACACAGCTTTCGTTTTGATCTCAGCTAATAGTGGCTGTGGCTCAGGAGGTAGAGGAGGACGTCCACTAATCTGAACATGTCTGCACTGCAAAATACTGTAGTGATAAATGATTACTATGTTGTGTATATGAACATAGGAGCTGCTGTTTAACTTGCTCTTGTCTTTTCAACATCTTGCCAACAGATGAAAATTTGCCTTCTTGGCTCATTTACAGTTCTTTTTAATAAGCGTTGTCCCTGTCAAAATAAAATTGTTGATTTTATTCTGACAGGGACAAAATCTGTTATGTTCCCCAATGATGACCGAGGGGATGAGTGGAACAAACAATGTGGAAACTGGAAAACTGAATCCCTTTGATTGTATTTTTATTGTGTTGTGCTGAGTTGTGTGTGAATGTGCACCTGGTAGTTCTGCAGCAGTATGAGGCTGAGGTAGAACTCGGAGAAGGCCAGCTGCAGGTCCTTTATGTTTCTGTGTTTGCATCGCTCCTGCTGCGACAGGGCGAACACCGTCTTCCTCCTCCTCAGGCCCCGGGCGTTAGCCGAGCTCTCTCTCTGGGCGTCCAGCGAGGACTGCAGCTCGTTCTGCAGCGTGGCGAATCGCCGCTGAGCCTCAGCCAGCTTCTCTGAAGGGGGAGTGGGAAACAGAGGGAAACTAGTTTAAAGACAGAGAGGAAACAGCCACAGAACAGGTGCACTCACTGAGCACATTATTAGGAACTCAGTTCCTCAGTTCTTCACGTCATGGATCCATGTTGATATGAATGCATCACATCACTTCTGCAGATTTGTCAGCTGCACATTCATGCTGCCAATCTCCTGTTCTACCACATCCCAAAGGTGTTCTACTGGATTCAGGTCTGGAGCCTGTGGGGGTCACTGAAGTTCACTGAACTCACTGTCATGTTGATGAAAGCAGTTTGTGACATGGAGCATGATTCTGCTGGAAGGAGCCATTAGAAGATGGTGAACTGTGGCCATGAAGGATGAACATGGTCAGCAACAATCCTCAGACTGAAACAGTCAGACCATGATTGATTGGTATTAAGAAGAGAACATTCCCCACACCATCACACCACCACCACCAGCCTGGGCTGTTGACACAAGGCAGGTTTGTCCATGGACTCTGTCTCTTACTCTATCATCTGCTGGCTCAGTACAAATCCACATCCATCAGTCCAGGTCTTCAGCTGTCCAGTGTTGGTGAGTCTGTGTCCACTGCAGCTTCAGGTTGCTGTTCTTGGTGACAGGAAGTGAAACCTGACATTTCTCTGCTGTCTCCAGAGTAAAAACTCTAGAGACTGACGTGTGAGAAAATCCAGGAGATCAGCAGGTTGAGAAACACTCAGACCAACAATCATGTCACAGTCAAAGTCGCTGAGATATATTTTCCTCATTCTGATGTTTGACATGAACATGAACTGAAGCTCCTCACCTGTATCTGCAGGGTTTTATACACTGCTGCCACATGATTGACATGATTGGCATGATTGGATACGTATGAATAAGCAGGTATACAGGTGTTCCTAATAAAGTGCTCAGTGAGTGAATATGCCTGTGTGGTGTTCGTTGTATCTTTACCAGAGTAGAAGGTGTTGATCTTGGCCAGCTCTTTTTCACACGTCTGGAAGAACTTCTCCTCAAACTTGGCGTAGTACCTCTTGACTGTGTCCTCGTCTGTGACTGTGGGAAGAGACAAGGTGTTAGATCAGTGAACGACTGTTTGTCTCACAGCAACGACCAAACCTTACTGCACCTCAACGTAGATAGGAGAACAACAGGTGGGCAGACAGGGAAGGTGGAGGTGGGCATGGAGGACTGACTGACTGTATGTATGTATGGTACTGAGTGAGACCATGGCTGCAGTGGAAAAGTCTTTTTTTCTTAAGAAAGTTCAAACTGAGTGAAATGAGCAGAAGTCTCTGAGCAGCAGCCATGATCAGAGCTGCTCCACTTCTCTAGATGATGAGGAAAGGAGCCTCAGTGCTTCCTATCTTATCCCCTTTAGCAGAGGAAGCACCGGACCTTCCTTTATGAAAGGAAAGAAGAAGATGCCGTCCCACAATTCCTTGCTGCAGCAACATTTCAAGTGACACACCGTTGTAGTTTCACCTCAGCAGACCCACGTAAATGTAGAAACATCAGAGCAGCTGTTTTATGTTTGTGACTCGATCCAGAACTGATGGAAATCCTTGTCTGATCCACTGAAGCCCAAATCCATAAATATAGATTTATTCTCTTCCAATCAGGACTCATGAAGAACAAACAGGTTGAATCTATAGTAAACAATATCATCATCATAACAAAATACTGTAGTCTATACATAAATGTTGTTTCACTAAATCCTCTCATTGTGTAAAGCACTAAAACGAATTTCTCCCCTAAGCAAATGTATAGAAATGTCAAAAACACCTATGAAACTATAAACTTGTGTCTGAATATAATTTACTTTAACCTCTTGCTCAGTTCCTCATTTCTATTTAAATATTATTTCAATGGCTCAACTTTCTCTATTTGTATATTATTGTATTGTTTCAACGTTTCAGTCCTGTTGGTTTTGTTGGTTAGGAGAGGAGGATTTAGTCTCCTTTAGTTATAAATAAAGTTAGTGAAAAAAAAACCTAGTGTCAGTGCAGTCAGATTGTTTTCCTGCTCGGCCAGCAGATGGAGCTGTGACACAGCAGCAGGTCGTCCAGTGGTTTCTGTGAGAGTTGACATGTTTCAACCCTCCAGCTGTGACAGACATTCGATATTTCTGTTTGTGGATCTGAGACCGTGCTGCGTTCACTAATCCAGTGTAGACAAATTATATTTCTAATTTAACTTAATTCCACTTTGACAAGAAATAAACACTTCATGAAAAACAAAAAATTTGCCAAGAAAATGTTTTTAACATTGTTGACTAATATTTGATATTGGCACACTGACCTTCCAACACATTAACCACAGATATATCATTAAATAAAACTCAATACACTTTTATTCATCACTGCAAGAGGAACTGTACACAACAGTGACCAGGCCAACACAGACACAGCTGAAACAACCAAATGCTGAAGCTAAAGACTTTATGTGGGACTCTGGGAATATGTCGCACTTAGAATAACTATTATTCCTACTAGCAGGTAGAGCACACTGATGTCCTGATGCCAGTGGTTCAATATGCTCATTGATTTCTTCATGATTAATTGGTCAGAATAAGAAATCCCTCTGTTTGACTCCAATAATCACTGAACAACACAATACAACACTGTTCAGGCTGTTTCTGCCCCTCACTGACAGACGGTAAAACCAGGCAAAGGAAATCTAAGGTTAAAAGATTCCAGATAAAAGACTGATGAAATGATTTAGAAAAACTGGACTGTTTGTTTTTGAAAAAGCTGCACCCTTTGATTGACAGTTATCTGACTGTTGTAGCTGGCTGTCAAACATTGTGCTCATGTTCTTGTAATGCTGGAATCAAACAATATATTTTTTCTCTTCAGATGGTCGATAGCCTTGTTTAAACAGAGATCCCGCTACGCTGCTGTAACCACACCCCACCCCACCCCACCCCCCATGTGATGTTAGATATGTCAGCTAGAGGAATCACAGGTGTAGCGTGTGACATAACATGGCTGGCGTCCTGTCCCGCCATGATGTCTCCTCCTCTTGACATGACTACAACACCTCGTCCTCATACAGGTCCTCCATAAACTACATTTCTGTCCTGTTTAAGGAACCAAATCTTTTGAAAACTGCACAATTGAGGATGTTTTAGAAATTATTCCTGACATCTGCCGTGACAGCGACTCTCCTGCTGCTCTGCAGAATTATCTTTATATTAAAAGTTATGTTTACTTGTTTTTTTTTTTTACACACTGAGAGGTTAAACTCTCCGCTCCTCCCACTGAGTCAGACGCTTTTTTTTTTTTTAGTTTTACCAGAATGCAGTCCTGTAATTTTCATCACTTTTGATCTCAACTATTTAAGAAGTCACGCCGGGACAGATTCTGGTAAACTCTAATTGAACAGTGGACATAGAGAACCTGTGTGTCCAACCACTAACATGTAGCCAGTGTCACGTCAACAGCAGCCAAACAACAGGCCGGGCAGGTGGTTTTGAGTCAGGCTGTGCACACTCAGTGATTCACTGTGTTTCAGACTGGCTGCTTTTAGACAAGACACCAAATTAACTCAATTGGAGTGTCCCAACCCCCCCCCCCCCCCCCCCCCCCCCCCCCCCCCCCCCCACACACACACACACACAGAACACACCACACCACACCACAGTCAGACTACAGTAATCTCCTCATCCCTTTTTGTCCTTATTCTGCTCTTTTCTCTCTGTGTCTCAGCTCATGTCATCATGATTATTATCATTATTATCATTATGACACGTCTGTCTCTCAGTAACAGGCTATACTTTCCATTTGACAATTGATGTTTTTTAGGGCCATTTTTCAGCAACACCCTACTTCTTTCTCACAGTAACACACATCCACATGTTCACAACTCGGGCTCTTAAACAGCAGCTAGACCAGGACATTATGTGCTGTTTAAAGAAGGAAGGCTGCTTTTATTTGACATATCTGTCTCTAGGTTTTCTGCATCCACTTTAATACAATGGACGTGCATGAGATCTCATCTGTGATGCTCAGACCGTAAAAATGGAATGACCTCCTCCTGGTTGTTTCCTCCACCAGCCAGTACAGTTACAGAGAATATGGTCAGTTTCTCCTTCCTGAGTCACAGCAGTGAATAATGACCAGAGGTGTATTTTTCAGAACATTATGTTGTCATAGTGAAGTTGAACTTTGACCATTTGGATATAAAATGTCATCACTTAATTTATCCTTATAGACATTTGAGTTAAATTGTGTCATGATTAGTGAATGAATTTGTGAGTTATAGCCAAAGACATGTTTTGTGAGGTCACAGTGACCTTAACCTTTGACCACCAAAATCTAATCAGTTCATCCTTGAGTCCTAGTGAATGTTTGTGCCTAATTTGAAGATGTTCCATCAAGGCGTTACTGAGATATCATGTTTATGAGAATGGGACGGATGTACAATGAATGTCCGTACGTAGGAACAACCTGAAAACAACATACAGTGCCTCTGGCTCTGGCTGTCGTCGCAGAGGAGGCATAAACATGATGAACATGCTGTCAACCTTTTGAAGACAAATTTTTTTGCCGAGTGGCAAAACACAATTAGAGCTAAATGAGAAACTTGGGTGAAGCAACCCTTTTAACAAGACATTACCAGCCAGGAAGTACGTGCACTCAAACTTCATATTCTCATTATAAACATGCATCTTTAATTTCATATTACTACCACCCAACAACCAATAGACAAAAACCATATACAGAGATGGGCAATTCATTCAATGTAACTGAAACTGATATTATGACTCTCTGACCCAGTGGTTCTCAAGCTTCTTCACATCAAAGACCCCTGAACTGACGCAAACTAGACCACAGACCCCCGTTTTATAAGATGCTGTCCCCGGGTCCCCATCTGATAAGGTTTTTGCTTTTAGACGTTTTAATACAGAAAGTGTTTAAACCCACGACTGAAACAGTCACACACTCTGTCATTGTGTTACTTATGGATGGAATTATTGTGAAAGTAAATTATTGCACTTTTTGCTGGGAACCCTAAGGAACCCCCTCAAGGACCCCTGGGGGTCCCTGACCCCACTTTGGGAACCACTGATCTAACCCAACTCATTTTAGTCATGTTGATATGTTCAAGAAATTCATTCCTTAGTACAACAAAGAGTACAACGCTACAGATCTAAATACACAGCTACTCAGAGTTTTCCGTGTGTTCATTTCCAGCAGTGATGTCATTAACTGTGTCCAGTCAGAGACAAGACCACTCACATGCTGCAGAAACAGAGGGAAAAGAGTTGGTTCACAAAAAAAGATGGTAAAACAAAAAAAGACTAAACTAAACAAAGGTAAATGTAACTGTCAGAAAACAGCAGAGTATACTGCAGCCTCTACACAAGCAACGACAGTCTGGAGATCTCACAACACAGACCTCTTCTCTGTCGGTTCTGGTTTCACTGCTGCAGTAGTTTAGAGCGACCAATATGTACAAGCGTGAATTAAAAGCTAAAACTATAATACTACTACTGTTATTGTTATTGAAGTGTTTTTGGAGGGAAAACAGAGAGTATCAGACTGATATGATCTTCTTCCAGGTTGAGCAGATATAAATTAGCAGATAAAACCAAGCAGCAACATCTGGTGTAGATTCAAACTGCATCTAGTGTTGTATTGTATTGTTGCAATCTCAACCACACCCACTTAGGAGACAGGAAGTGTATACCATATCCTCTGCTTGTAATGCATCATCTTTTGTTATAGAGGATCTTTGGTAAGAGCTCCTGGTCGGAGTCTTGTGTCAGGTTCACTCTCCTCCATGTTTGTTAATGGATGATAAACACATGTTATTGCACAGTGTGAGCGTAAAACTAATAGAATTAGTAGGTAAGTGGATGTTATTGCACAGAGACTGTTCCTGAGGTTACAGAGTGATGGCATTGTCTCCTGAGCTGCAGTCATTAGTGCAGAGAGAGAAGAGCAGTAGGGAGAGCACACATCCCTGGGGGGTCGCTACTGTTGCCTGCTGATGTGATTTTCCCACCCTCCCCTGCTGCTTCCTGACTGTAAGGAGGTTGGCGGTCCAGT